AGGAGAGAGAGAGAGACTCTTGTGTATGAATGAAATAATAACAGAGAGAGAGAGAGCAATCCTCTGAGCGAAGGTCTCTCCATCACTTTCTGGACAAGAAATAATTTATATGAATAATAAACTGACTTTTTGATCGATTTATGTTGCAAAACTATTGGTTTTGGCCTTTTTAACCTTCTTTTTACAAAATAAAGGGTAATCATTAGTGCTTACTATTCTCCAAAATGAAGGGTAATCATTAGTGCTGACTATTCTTGAAAAGTGTTTGTGTCCAATGCTTTGTGACAAACATGAAGGCTTTGGGCTTTAGTGGGTTTTCCCCCACTCTAGAGAGAACTTGAGTGTAGTATCCTTTAGAATTCCTAGGTTTATAATTATCAGAAGATAAAAGAGAATCAGATTCATATCCATTGATGAAATGGTAAGTTTCCTGCCTAACCCAGCTTACCTCCAAATTATTTAAATAAATAGATGAAAAAATAAAATCCATGGTATTTTTTATCCGCTTTACATAGTTTATGATCAAAGAAGTGGATTTTTTTGACTTTTCAAGGTTTGGGCTTCTTTTCTTTCAGTTTACCATGTTCCTATAATTTCACTGTTAGTTTCCTTTGTGATTTAGCAGCATATACTGTTTCTCAACAAACTAATGTAGTTGCACCCTTTTGAATAGTTATCTTTTATAACCTACTTAATATTTAAAAGCCTTTTTTCTTTTTTCCCCTTATATTTAGGTTTTGATCATTTTCTGCTGTGATTTCTGATTAGGTTTTGATTGTTTTGGTCAGGAGCTGGTGGACTGGGAGTATAAGAGCAGATTGGATGGCAAAATGCATGCATGTGGTCATGATGCTCATGTAACTATGGTTCTTGGGGCAGCTAAACTACTTCAGAAGGCAAAGGATCAATTAAAGGTTAATCGTTAAAATCCTCTTCTTATATTCAATTCTGAACAAGTTAATCAAATCAACATTGTTTGATTACTGTTTTTCAATTACTCATACAAGACTTGGTTTTTTGCCATAAAAGTTGTTAGACTAGTCTCTTTTCTGCTCAATTCTTTTCTGAATCCCAGTACTTAAAATTAGAAACTTACAGGTATTTTTCCTGTTGTTTCTTAATGGGATTAGGACATCATATGTCATGTGCCTTCTTTATAATCTTCTATAGAATCAGAAGAGGTAAGTGTGCTGATCCTGTTTATGCATGATTTAATAAATGAATGGAACATCCATATCTTTCCAACACTCATGATAAGATTAGTGAACACGCAGGAAACATTATTAGGACCCACCCTCATAAGGTTTTGAGGAAGAATGGTAAACTCTTGTCTCTTTCATTTCCCACTTTTTGGATACGTAAAGGAGCCCATTTTTGGAATGTATGAGGATACCCTTGAACAAATCATCAATGCCAAAAATAATAATTTATCTACTTACATCAAAGGCATGTTAAGTAATCCTAAGCCTCCCCCTCAAGCTGACATAGTGACATGGTAACATGGGAATCTTGTCTTTGTTATGAGAGAATTTCTTCCATGTGATTTAGCCTTGGTCATAATCTGCCACTTCGTTAGAAATGTATATATATTTTACAAGGATTTCATCATCATGAATCATATCTTTTTTATAGTGGTGATCCACACCCAGATGTTTGGTCTTCCCATGCTCTAAGAGATTATTTGAGATCTTGATAGCACTTTGGTTATGCCAGCAGTGCACCATCTTTGTTGGCATCTCCAGGTGAATTCACATTTTTTATAATAGATTGGATAAGGATGTAACTTCAAGAAGCTGCAAGGGGCATATCTATACCATGTTCCGGTGCTTGATTTGTCTACAGTTCTCAACTTTTTGCTACTCCATGATACAAGATTCTTTGTAAGAATCTCCAAAGGTGGCATCAGATCTTCTATCATTAGGACAACATGCTAGTCAGCATCAGAGAAATGTGTTAGTTCTAGGCCACCTTGTGGGACATACAGAAGATCAGAGTTAAGTGTTCCAGTAATGTACCTCAATATTCTCTTTTCAGCCTCAAGGTGCGTTTTTTGGATTTTGCATATGTTGACACATTGTATTGACTTCATGAGCAATGTATGGTATTATGAAGGGCAAGTTTTCGAAGCCCTCTAACTAGATTTCTCTATTGAGTAGTGTTTGGAAGCAACTCCCCTTCATTGACTAGTAATTTTAGATTCACTTGGGCTGGGGTTCCTATTGGTTGTCAGTCCAACATGCTGAATTTCTCAAGTAACTCCATTGCATATTTTGTTGAGCTAGAATCAAACCTATTTAGAATCTATGTACTTTGCCAAGGAAATGTTTAACCTTCCACGGTCCTTTAGTCCAAAGGATGTTTGCAATTTTGCTTTTAGATTCTCAATATCCAATTTTTTTTTGGGTAAATCAGTGACTCAATATCCAACTTGTTGCTTCCAGTATTGATCTTGTCATCTACGTACAAGAGTGTGAGGGTTATACCTAAGCTCCCTTTGTTGATGAAAGAGAGATATTTGCATAATTTTAAATGAACCCCTCCATTTTGATGACTCGTAAGAATCTGTCAAACCATACTCTTGGAGCTTGTTTCAGTCCATATAATGCTTTCCTAGGTTGACATATATTTCGAGGGAGTTTGTTGTCAACAAAACTTGAATGTTGTGCAATACTAACTTCTTTCTATAATGTTCCATGGAGAAATGTATTTTTGACATCCATTTGATTGAGCTCTCATCCATTCATGATCCCGAGAGCAAGAATAGCTGTTATGGTTGTAGCTTTGACAGGGAACAAAATTTCTTCATAGTCTAATCCATACTCTTGATTGTATCATTTGGCCACTATGTGTATTTTCAATCTCTCTACCCTTCCATCTTGTTTAAGTCACCAGGTTTTTATTTTGAGGTAGTGAACGACCTACCATGTTTGACTTCGATGAAAAGCACCAATTCCTTCCTCCATAACTTTTTTCCATTGCTGATCTTTAATTGCTTCTTTGTATGATGTTATTTCTTTTACTTTTCCCTTAAAATTCCATGCTTATTCAAGAAATTAGTAAAGGAGGCATATTAATCCATTGAATAACGTTAGCTTGGATTTCAAGTATAGTCTGATCTCCTGAGATGGGGAGTTGTGAGGAGATCATACAATGTTATCTGAGATAGGAACTTGTCGAAGATCTTGACTCCCTATGTGTCTGTTTTGATATTTAAATCAAATAGGAGTAGGACGAGGAGATCACTTTCGTCGTGCATGGCTTGCATTGGAAGAAACTGTTAAGGCATCCAAATCAAACCTCTCAATTGGAGATGCACTTGCCTCATTACGCAATGGTTGCAGTCCTTGTAATCAGAAGAAGTTGAAGAGGCGGTGAAGCACTTGTCTTTACATGTTCTCCCCCTTGCACAGACACATCTATACTTTGAAATCGATCATGTTAATATTATAACAAGAGTAGTATGGGTTAGCCTCACCAAAGGTAACATAGCGAGAAGTAATCACTCAACTTTGTTGCGGGAATATAACATCTATTAGCCTCATGTCAGGACTGTAACAAATGAGTACTCCTTGCTATGCTTTGGATAGAAATTTATTGCAAGAATTGATATGTACAAAACGTGTGCAACCACATACAGAAATCGAGAGTAGTCAACAATGATTCCATAAAGGTTATAATAAGGGAGTGGCTTTTGAAAGTATTGGTGAAGGATGGTGAGTAATAACGTCGTCTGCTGTTAGGAAAGGCTCTCCCAGCAAGAAAGAAGAGATATGAGCATCAAGCATCATAGATAATGCAGTCTCCACAATGTATCGATTTTTTTGTTCAATAAGTATATGTACATGAAAATTGATGCTGAATTCTATTATAATTCAGAAACTGTTGAAAAAACGTCATGTGACCTATATTCTTCCCTATGGTCAGATCTGGAAACTTTAATGTGTTTCCTAAAGTAATCTCCAACCGTGGGCTGAAATATTTTAAAACAATCCAAAACTTTTGCCTAATAAAGAAGGTCCAAGTATATCTACTGCAGTCATCAGTAAAAGAGGCATAATAACAATAACCATACATAGAATCACAGTGTAAGGTCCCAAAACATGAGAATGTATTAAGTCAAAAGCTTCATGTGTAATATTTTCATCATGGCCATCACAAAAGAAGCTCAGTTGTGCAGGCTTGCCCAATTGACAACTAATACATGATGAACTAAACCAAATGGTACTAAATGAAATTGGGCCCTCATTTTCCAAGTTCTTGTACCTTCAAGCTAGGATTCCAAGTTATCGATGCCAAAATTCCATGGAAGACTTAGTTGAGAGATCACATTGGGTGGCCATTGTAAGAGTAAAAACATGTTAATTCTCCCAAACTTAAAGCCCTTTTTTCTACACCCATTGAGCAATCAGCTTCCCATATCGTGATCCTTAACAACAGAAAGATTTGGAAAGAATTCAGATTTGCATTTAAGGTCAGATGTAAGTTCACATACAAATATTAAATTCCTTTTAATTTTGGGAATTGCAAGAACATTCCGTATTTGCAAGCACATTCCATATTTAAGAAGTTGATCTTGAAGCTCTTACTTTGAAGGCAGATGCAAGAGCAAATATATCGTTTTCTAATTTTACCTCTCGTAATTATGAAAGATAGGTCTCAAATATTCAAAGAAAGGATAAGGATGTTGTTAGGTAAGAGAACTAACAATCATTTTGTCTCTATTAGGTACAACCTTCTATGTGATTGCTAGATCATCACAAATGGCCTTAAGAAATAGATGAAGACCCATACTTACAGTTTTGTAGGTCCATATGGGGTTGCGCTTCTCTGGCCTTTGATTTTCAGCAAATAGTTTCCTAAAGCAACCCAAATGTCTTGAGCAGTTGAGTGATCAGCGACATCCATCAGTACGTCTGAGGATGTGGAAGCAAATAGCAAACTAACCACAAGCTGATCTTGCCTTATACATGTTTCATATTCTAGATTAAGTTATCGTGCTTCTTAGGTTTGGTCAGTCATTGATTTTTCTAAGAGATACGATGGATGATGAGGCCCCAGACCCATCAAGAAATCCAACAATATTTTGGCTATGCGTAACTCGGAAAAACTGGTTTTGTCATAGAAAATAGTTTGAGTTGTTCAATTGGATAGGAGGGCAGTCACATTTGATGATACCATGATGGATAACAGAAAGATGACAAGAATTCTAGGGTTTGTGCAAGAAGGGATAAAGAGAATTTCAACTGGTTAGGGGTTTCAAGGTTTCAAATAGACAAAGAAGATATTTAGAGAGAGAAAGAGGGAACTTAGAAGTGAGGGATTGTATATGTTAGGAATCAAGCCCCTTAGTCCTACATCATGTGAGCCGTGAGATAAAATGGCTAATCTAAAGCAAGGTTTCTCTCTCTAACTCACACATCATCATCATTATCATTCGAGCCCATGAATCCTAGTCCGCCAGGGTCGGCTACATGAATCTTAGTCCGCCATTTTGCTCTATCAAGGGCCATTACCCTCAATGAGATCATAAGTCTTCATATCTCTTCTTACTACTTCCAACCATATCCTTTCGAGCCTATCCCTTGCTTTTTTTGAGCCTTCCACTTGAAGCAACTCGTATCTCCTAATAGGCCGCCTATATCTACTTTCTCTCCTCTTATCACCTATTGGAGCCACACCTAAGTTCTCTGGAATGTATTCATTTCAAATTCTATTCCAATTTGTCTTGCCACTCATCCATCTCAACATCCTCATCTCAACTACCTATAGGTATGTTGTTTCTTGACCGCCCAACATTCCACCCTATAAAGTAAAGCTAATCGCACAGCTGCCCCAAAGAAGTTTCCCTTCAGCTTCATTGATCTGCGGTGGTCTCATAAAACTCTGGTTGCACATCTCCACTTTGTCCACCCAG